TCCTGCTATCTGTGTTTTAGCAGGAAGCGCGTGACAGTAAAAGTCTGGTAATTAATTTTTTTCCTCCTGATATCTGAGTTTTAGCAGAAAGAGCGTGACAGTAAAAGTCTGGTAATTAATTTTTTTCCTCCTGCTATCTGTGTTTTAGCAGGAAGCGCGTGACAGTAAAAGTCTGGTAATTAATTTTTTTCCTCCTGATATCTGAGTTTTAGCAGAAAGAGCGTGACAGTAAAAGTCTGGTAATTAATTTTTTTCCTCCTGATATCTGAGTTTTAGCAGAAAGAGCGTGACAGTAAAAGTCTAGTGATTAACTAAAACTCAGATATCAGGAGGAAAAAAACGAACAGTTCGATCCTGTACATCTGGTCACAGCAGGGCCACTTCACCTTCTAACTTGAATGGTGTCACTAGCGTGTCTCTACATGTACCAAGAGAATGTTCTAACCATGCTGTTATCGATGGAGTCTATATATATATATATATCGTCTTTTTTAAACCCATTTTTCTAAACTACGTATGTACCAAACATCTTTTGGGTCCACGCCTTAGTTAATTATAAAGTGTATCATAACATACAAGTCACACACACACACAAAACCCCATCAAAATTAACAGTTAATCTCACTATTTACTAGTGGAGTCCCCTCTTTATTTCATAATGAGCGATTTCATCATATACTTCGGTATGTTCTTTACTCTGATTGGTCTAACAGTACAGGTTACTCAACACGTGGTGGACGGTGCAGAACAAATCAGTATTATGATGGTTCAAGTTAACTACACAAGGTGGCAGAGCATTTACTACTTAATGATAGTAATAGTGTGTGTTTTTTGTTATAGCAAAGTCACATCGGGCTATCTGCTGTGTCCACCGAGGGGAACCGAACCCTTGATTGTAGCGTTGCAAATCCAAAGTGTTACCGTTGTCCCACCAGGAAGGGGGGGCACAAATATAGCAATAGTAGATGCGTATGTGTCATTAGTATTTGTATACCTAATTTTTTATGTGATAACCTACACATAATCAAAACTCTGATATCAGGTGGAACTAAATTTTAATTACCAGACTTTTACTGTCACGCTCTTTCTGAAAGAGAGATCCATATCATATTACTGT